TATATATCAGTCTGTCAAATGTGTGTATTTATTGCTATGCTCATTACCTTGTAGTTTTTAGTGATTATTGTGATGTCGATATCAGCCAGAAAGCACGAATTAACTTTTAGTGCACTGCTTTGATGAGTAGAACGATGTATTAGACTGCTACAATTTTATCTTTTGTCATCGATGCACTTCATGTTCACAATCATAAGTTATATTCAATACTAAAGTTGCTTTTTGTTCTCTTTTGCAGTTTGTATTCTCCGATTGCAAAGAATGCTACAAAACAATTTAACCTAATTACGATAATAAACAAAGATAAACGTCTCTGCATTTACATGAATATTACACAAGTGTGAAGTTATCTAGAATCAATTGGTTGTCATGATGTAAGCCACTCGGACAGAACAACAACACCAAGCCACCCACTTTTACTGCACAACCGTACTGATAAAAGTAATGAAAATAATCATGATAATACGTTGCTTTTCGTACGCTTTCTTTGATTCATTCCAATGTTCGCACTGAACAATAAACATCTATGACTATCAAGATAGAGCTCTATGGAATGTTTCTTTTGAACGGCGATTGTCCACTGTAATGTGCAAGGGACTGCAAAGCAAACGATTTCATCATATTAATCAACAACGAGATGAACAAGAATTAGTGCATGCAATATCGAAGATGCGGAATTTAATGAATACGAGAGAGAAGATGATCATGGATAGTTTCGTAGAAAGAGTCATGGGCAAAAAGATGAGAGCAATGAATGATTATTTATGAGTTATTCAGTTTGGTATGAAGGATAATGATGATGATATCTGAAAGAAGATTGATAAGCAGGTTTAGAAGGTTTAATTGAATTGAATAATCATTTCATTAATTGATGCAAAGATGCAAACTTGTTACATGTGCTAAAGAATAATAATAATGTGTTTGGAACCGGTGTTCGATGAATGTGATAGAAATATTTCTTAAAAGAGACGATAATCCATTGATGAACGAATTAGTGCAGCAAGATGAAGATCCAGTTTGTGGGATGAGTGGGATTTAGCTGTGTAGAAAAGGGGAAGGGGAGGGTCTACGTAATGAGGTATATAAGGTTTTGAGAAATCGTGATGTGCCGTTCTAGACGCTGAGCTGATCTGGTGATAACACACGACCAGCAATGATGGAGAAGAAGGATCAACGACAAAGTTTGAAGCCAGTGGCATTCATCTCGATCGTTTTCAGTACATTTGCTATCAGTTCTGTACTCATTACGTTCCCTTTAATTGTTAATTACATCCAAACACTCGAATCGTCCGTTCAAATCGATTTGGACTACTGCAAGGTAATCGTTTCACTTCACTTCGTTCTAACTGCTTTTCATTTGTCAGCATCAAATAAATTATATGTACATGTAAACGATATGATATGCATTCACCGAAATGAACGAATCGAGAACAATTTACATGTTATTGCATTGAAAGAATTGTTGTTGATCGTCGATTATGAATTCAATTTTAATTGTTCAGGTAAGAGCACGTGATATGTGGAAGGAGATGTTGAATATAGAAACAGAAGGAAAGAGTAACGTTGGTAAGCTGGCAGATATAGTGATGGCACATCGAGAGTTGCATAAACGTGATACAATTGCCGACTTTTGGGCGAGAAGGCTTCATGATCAGGAGTTAAGAGATGATCCATACTATTCGAGTAAAGTGGAAGGTGGCTGTTGCACATGTCAACGGGGGGCACCCGGTCCAGCAGGTCCACCAGGACGTGATGGCGCTGATGGAATCGATGGTGAAATGGGTCCTATGGGTCCACCTGGACCAGCCGCACAACAAATATTCGATCCATTAACGATGTTCCCACCACAATGTCCATGTGAAGCACCTGCCGGAGAACCTGGGCCCAAGGGTCCGAGAGGGCCAGACGGACCACCAGGACCTCCAGGACTACCCGGTGAGGATGGAAAACCAGGAGATCAAGGACCGCGTGGCCCGCCCGGTTTGCCAGGACCTCAAGGACCGGCCGGAAGGGCCGGACCGCCCGGTGAACCCGGAATGTTGCGCACAGAGGTTGGACCATCAGGACGTCCTGGACTTCCCGGTAGACCCGGTATTCCAGGCGAACCAGGACCACCAGGTCCAAACGGTGAAGATGGTAGGCCTGGGCCAGAAGGACCGGCTGGTCCACCAGGACCTCCAGGACAACCCGGTCAAAGTGGACCTATTGGTGAACCAGGACAAGCCGGAGAACCAGGCAAGTACATTGAGAAAGAACTGTTTTTACTATAAGATATCTGGAGACCTCAGTCAGTAATTAGTTGTACTGATCACTTTATTATTCGTTAGTGAGAGAAAGTGAATCTTCAAGTAGAAATCTGAAAGGACGCCCATTGTAAGATTTCTGTTTGAAAATGACGTGACCAGAAATGATATGAGTTATTTACAAAATTCGTTTGAGATGACCTGAAAAAATAATCGGTTGATGGTGAGTAATCATTGCTGACGTACAATTTAATTCATTGCAAGAAGTTATGTAACCGCAGCTGAACAGCTCTAATCACGTTGTTTCCAGCCGACTTTCCTCAACTTTTTGAATATTCTTTCGAAACTGATAACGAAGAATTGTTCAATGAAAATGTACACAAATAACCCAAACGCACAAATATGCAATTGAGTTCAGTCTAAATCAGTGCACTTTCTTTGCAGGAGCGCCGGGAGGTTGTGACCATTGTCCTCAAGCAAGACTTGCTCCAGGATATTAACAAGACACGGAGTTTGTTTTGTGAACAAACAAACAATGCTGATGTGTATCTTCACATGAACATTTCTCAGTCACTGTTATATAATAAAATATCATGTACTGCTTATTTATCGCTCATGATCAAATTTTATGTGACAATGAAACTTGAGCATTGGACTCGAGAAAATCTTTATTAAAACAAAATATATCATTTAAATTCCGGTTACTTTTCGTTCAAAAAAAACATTTTGTGTCAAAGAAAATCGTAGTGCAACTAAATGAAAGCATCAAATATCGAATATATTGTATGTAGATCGTATTTATCAAGAAATTTCTGTTTGCCTTCATCACACATACAAATATTTGAGAATAAAGCTTCGTTTCACTTATGCCGCTGAAAAATTATTGCAACAAAGTTATCAAATTGCGCTGCGAAGAAGATCAAACAGTGAGTGGAAATACCCCTGCACTTATCTCTATCTCTGAAAATCTTGGCATGTACATAGTTTTGGTATGTATAGTCAATTTTGGGATGTGATCAATTCAACATAAATAGAATAACCTTGGAACATAATCAGAAATGTGTAATTCACCTATAATTCCAGTCTTACAAAACCTCAATAGTGAACATATTGTATTTTGTAGCTGCTACCTCTAGAACTTCGAAATTCGTTCAGTAGCACTGAATCACTCAGAAATGTAAAGGTATAAGTATATTAGTTCAGCACATAGCTTCCTTCCTTCATCACTCCGTTTAGAGTTCTACAAATTCGAAAAAATAGATTTGAAATCTACTGCACTACCACATGAATTAAAAGCTCCACATTCTAGCTACAATGACCCTCATTCTTATTAACACCATAATGATTTCTTGGTAAAAGGTGATAAAAAAAGGTCCTATACTATCAAAAAACTTTATGCTATCTTGAGATGTTTTATTTTCCTTCAATGATAAAGCAATTTATCTAACGAAGGAATAGAAAGATTTGATAGCTTAGCTAAACCAGATGTCCAGGTATATCTTACCAATGTCTTGATTTTTAATTTCAAAGATGTTTAAGGAACGTTTAGAGGAGATCAGTCATTTTTGCTAACTATTTAATTGACTGAAATGGTATATTGAACAAACCCCATCACCTCATTAGCAGAATGTACTTCCTCAGTGAAGGATTTCGAAATTTCATTGAATCATCAGTAAAGGTGACATTTTCATCAGCAATGGGAAAGAGGTGTGAGTGGGTAAGGAGTTCCCGAATATGCAGTAATAACTCTCAACAACTTTCGCTGCTACCGCAATCGTCCTAATTACCGTATTTACTCTTGATTGCTATCGCATGAAAATTAGCATATAATGACATAATTCTCAATATCCCTAATGCGAGTTACTGCCAGCCTCGTCGGGTCTGCTTTCATCCGCATCGTGTTAGGTTTACCTGTATCGCGAGGCGAATTGAATGTCATTTGTTTACTATTTTTGTATCTTAATTTTTTGATAAAAGGATTCACTCTGAACAAAATTCGTCAATCAATGAACCGAAAAGATTTTGCCAACGTTTAGGTGGTTTTTCCCATATTTTCTAAATGTTATGACTTGCTACAAATCACGGTAATGAAATGAAGGGATAATGATCAAATGCATATCAAAGAGCACTACTGCGCTACCTGAGATGATAGCTTTAATAAAATAGCTATATCTCCTCAATTAAGCAAAATCGCCCGACAAAATATATATTTTTCTGAATGCAGGGATTCTGCTCGATCGATTGGTGTGAAGAAATTAATATGTTATTGGTCAAAACTGAGAATACGGTAGGCTTGAATGTGCTAACCCCAATATCATCACCTAAATTGCTATGTCTACTCGTACAGTGGGAAATCTCAGCAAACTTTTCATTTTCAGAAAGCAGAGATTTAACTCGACCGACCGATGTATAAACATCAATATGTTATTGGGCAAACCTGAGAAGGCGCTAGGCTTGAATATCAAACCTACATTTCTGTAGTAATGTATAATATCTATTGATCATCCAAATGGTATTCTTATAGTTAACTTGTTAATGAAAGGTACAATCTACGCACCATTTCGGGGTGAGATTTGCCTCAAATTTACGATACAACTTACCATAGGGTTTCGGCAGAGGCTTATAGTTGGACTGAGGCTCACGCCGGATTAGCGGTGATATATGAATCCGAAGTGAGCCTTGCTCCCAACACAAGTTTAGTTATAATTCTGCCTCCTTTCGTAAACATATTGGCTACAAGCTAGTCATATGGTATCATACGTTGATGATTCGTTAATCTGAACGAATTAAGGCCAGGCTTCTGCTGTGGACATTCCCTGAGATTTAGGGAAGCCTCAGGCTACTGCTATCTTGCTTTCTTTGCTGCAATCTTGAAGCACAACGTCCCATGAGGATAGCCTATAACCGGTTTTGTCAATTCAGCATTTCATTCTCTCTCCACATCATCTCAGTCAGTTTTCGTTGAAATCGTGCAACCTAAAATTTGGATGTTTCGCTTTGATTGTAATGTAAATTTTTAGTGCTGTTAAGGAATAAGAGAGTATAAACTTATTCTGTCGTTGAGAAAATGGCGAAAAGAGCGGTCGCTCGGGGAAAAAGACCGCTTAAAGTAATGCCTATGTTTTGGTGATGTCTTAAGCGATGATGATTCGTTTTTATGCGTCTTGCGACTGAATTTTGTTCAATTTCGGGTACTTTTGCAGTGTAGTGTACCTCACCCCACGTGCCCATTAAAAGAAAGAAAAGGGATAGCCTCAGCATAAGCCTGAGCGTTGCTGTTAAGCGGTTACCACTCAACAGCGAAACTCATTTCATTGTCTGTCTATGTGAACGACCATCGAAAGAGAGAAAAGGGATAGCCTCAGCATAGGCCTAAGCGTTGCTGTTAGGCGGTTACCGTGGGCTGAGGTCCACTGCATTGCAAAAGTGCCCCCAATTTTGATGGAATTTCGCGAATTTTGTTTATTTGATAGCCTTCTTAGCGCCGTAATGCCCACCAAACAATAATAAAACTGAAGCGCACAACGGTCATAATAACGTATTTTGCGAAGGTATTTATTTTCAGAATAGTGAAATAGTTGCAGAATGGTGGGTGTAGCATCGGAAACTTGGTTAATTCCTCTAAGTTGCGAGCACTTTTTTTGTAATTCACATCATATTTCAGGTAAAACAACGCAAAGTCAGCACATCAAAAATGTTCGATGTTAAAACAGACTCAGGATTGAATGATTTCAATAAATTTCTAGCTGACAACGCGTTCGCTAACGGGTAATCGTTGATATTATTCTATTTTTTGACTAAAACTTAAATTGTTTTCGTTTGGTGTAATTCATCTCGCAGTTTTTAACAACTTCTTGTTTGATTAGAATTGATGTGATTAACGTTTTTAAATCCACTTCGCCAACTTTGACTTATTTATTTGCATTATTGTGTCAATTTCCATTCCCAATCCAATTCTCTCGTATTCTATTTATGTTCCTCAAATCGTCCTTTACATGCTTGAAACGTGCCTCATAGTGTGATTCATCTTCGTAGAATATCACGTGAAGTGGTAACCAATCATTTTTAGGTTCATCTTATCAGGTGAAGATGCGTGCCTATTCGCTGGTATCGGTCAAACAGCACCAGATGCCAAGAAACATCCAAATATTGCTCGGTGGTACAAAAATATTGCTAGCTATAGTGAGGACGAAAGAAAAGCGTTAGTTACTCAGTGGTTTTCTCTACGTCAGTGATGGATTTCATTGTTTCGATTTATTAATTATTTACAAAATTTTAAAAATCGCGAAAATTTTTTCACTGATCTGATTCAACAGGAGTATTGTTGCATCGAATCGAGTAAGCTTTGCATGCTCCGTACTGACTTGAAATGAAACTGTTTTGTGTGTGAGAAAAACAACACGTGAAGAGTTGAGCAAGCATATTTTGATTGTTTTCAGTTGGCCGACGCCTAGTGCAAGTGCGTCAGAGGCAAAGAAAGAAGATGCTGAGGAAGAGATCGATTTGTTTGGGTCGGATGATGAGGAAGAAGACGAAGAGAAAGCAAAGATCGTCGCCGAACGTCTGAAGGCGTACCAGGAGAAAAAAGCCAAGAAACCGGCTGGTATTGCGAAGTCGAATGTTATCTTCGACATAAAACCATGGGATGATACGGTGCAGATTGCAGAAATCGAAAAGAATGTTCGAAGCATTGAATCTGATGGTCTTATTTGGGGTAATGCGAAAGTATTACCAGTGGCGTTCGGTATCATGAAACTCCAGGTTTTGATTGTTCATTTGATTTAGCTTATTGTTCTCTTGATTCGTTTGCTTACAGTAAGGAAGGTGTGCTACAAGTTTATAAATTTAAACGATTGAGCTGACAATTGAATTTGCAGATCGGTTGTGTAATCGAGGACGAGAAAGTATCATCGGATTGGCTAGAAGAGCAAATAACTGGGTTTGAAGATTTAGTACAATCAGTTGATATTGTCGCGTTTAATAAAGTTTAATTTTGCTATTCATATTGTTGTTATATCGCTTATTTATTGCTTTATAATTTATGTCAAGATTGTTTGTTAATTGATCGAATACAGAGTTTGTTTTATCTGGAATTCATTTGTTCACACTACAGCCACACAAATACCTTTCATTTGTCATACGATGCAATTGAATTTTACTTACGAGTCATTGAGTCTTAACACAACATAGAAACAGATCTCGAAACTGTTTTTCGAACCGATTTAAGCAGCCGGATGGAAAACATTTTTGAATACGAATATTTGATGTCGGCAACCGATTAGATATTTTTCTCGAGGTTATGTGCGGTTTTTAACATTAAAATGATTATCGGACAAAGCCGTGTCAACCATTAATGTGTGCCAATATGTACTGTCATTAAAACTAAGAATTGGGCGCAGAATACTCGGTTGTAAACAGGTTTACGGTTGAGGAAATGACCTAATTGAAGTGATTAGTTCTTACTGTTTCAGCGCTGCTACTACTGATGTCAGTCATTCGTTTAGAGATGGATCAGTGTTTCGAGCTATTGCATTATGCTATTTCGCAAGGTAACAAAAAGAATTGATTGTTTATTGATACTATCTTCTAGATATTTTCCTCATTCACTGTCCAGTTGCTTACCAATATCAAACCATATTTGTTGATAGCAACACAAAAGAAAATAACTGATTCATTTTGAAGAGGTCGAAGAGGTCAAGACCAAAGTTTATCCGTACGATCCTCTGAAAGAATTGGCTGATCGACTGTACGATCGGCTAGTTGCATGCAAATGGAGTGTTGATGAAGCTGCCATAGCGCACAGTGTTGCCAGTATAACAGTGCCGAATGTACCTTCAACAAGCGATGCCAACAAAACTGAATGTTTGCCTACGGTGGACTCTAGGATACGGTATTCAGCAATGCTCGATCTCATCTTGAATAAGGTGCATTCACGTCCTTTTCTAGTCAAAAAGCAACTGATTCCAATCGTAATAAACCAATACGTCTCCCGTTCTCACTCAGTCACAATACCAATTTGCACAAATGATTGAAGAAAAATGTTTGGATATTTTCAGTTGAGCACCACAGTGAAACGGATTGCAAAAGAATGTGCCGATCAGATGAATGTGCTGTCATGCCAACAAATAACTCTTTTGACAAACGCCCTCAACTTCTACATTCCAACAGCAATCATACCGTATCTTGATCAGGGTCAGTTTGATAATACATCGCAATTCATTTTGGATTTCATTTTTTGAAATGAAATCGCACTCGCAGTTCACAAAAACATAATGCAAAATAAAACAAAATCAAAAAATAATACATTAATAAGAACAAGTGAAAAATAAACTCGTAATTTGAAATTAAATTGGATAAAAGCATTTAATGAATCCCGAACCACTGAGTTTCTTGGTCTCAATTACCGCACTTGAAATGTACCCAGTAAAACCAATTAATCACTAGTGATCTCATTGACCAGCTCATGGTAGCTTGCAAATACTGTGCATTTCTGTGGAGATAACTGAAGCAAATTGTGAAGTTTGCTTGTGAGTTGGAAAAGAATTCTGATAAATCTATAGGTGTTGGTTTCGGTGTTGAGCAACGTTCGAAAATGGTGAAATATTGGCAGCCGTTACGAGATGACGATAATTTCAGAAGGGAACAGGTTAGAGTATGTTGAGATTATGCTTGCGTACAGTACGATAAACAGCAATATGTGGTATCGCTTCAACTGAATTCGAAAATGAACCCGATTTGAATCGTCAACAGTCTTAGATGATAATAGGATCCAACTATACACTCTAATATGTGCACTTGAATTTGATTGCTCGGAGTGCTCGGTAGTAAAATGAATAATGAAGTGTATTTGTTATGCATTAAAACCTGGGTTTACTTGGTTGCTCAGATAGGAATGTTATGAAGAAACACACAGGTTATTCAGATTTCATCAGAGGAATTTTCGAATAGTTTTCTATTTATCGACATTTCGATTGCAGTTGCTGAATGCGGCCAAAACAATGAATGCACTGTCGAAGTGTTGCACTCAAGCAAAGGAGTTAGTTGCTACAAGATTTATCGCAGATTTAATTGCTCTCAATGAACAGGTTCGTTTAGTTGTCTGTCTGATCGTAATAGAAGGCATCTGTATGTCTTGTGACAATTATGATATTGATAACGTATCTGAATCTCATTAATGTGATTATCAAAGAGTTCAGTTGCTGCATATGAACGAATCAACAATGAAGCAGTCGTATGAAATGTTTCTGCTAAAAGATGTTCGCAGGTTCGTTCAATATAAGCTTTGTTCAGTTTTAATGTGTTTCATAAAAGTCGTCGTTTCTGGTCTTTGCTTGTATGACAGAAGATTCTTAAAAACATGCCAGTTACATTTTTGAGAGAGGCGCAAATTCGAATTTCCTCTTAATTTACATGAACTCCATCTAGAAATTTTGAAGGAATGTTTGATTTCAGACCCGATTTAATGTATCAGTTTTTCGTACTGATGAATCCGCTAAGCGCATCTCGCAGTAAGATACCCTCATCCGGATGGTTTACGGTACGTACGCTCAGTTAGTTGGCATTATCGGATTTGTAGTTTTTCATTTAATGCACCACCCGCTTGATATGTGAAGGTTTCAAAGAGGGATTCAATTAATATTTGGCATTTTGTTCGTGTTTGTGCACTTAAGTTTATCATTTGAGTTGAATTGATCAGTAAACTGGGCGATTGTTCAGATGGCTTTGGGTCGTCGACTATCGGAGATGGTTATTGGTTCGGATGGAATTGCGAATTTGACTACAGCGCTCACGCAGGGTGAGTGTTTTATGAAGAACGTGACTGTGTAACGTGTCGACGTTTGTAGCTCATCACAAACGTATGGTCACCACGAAATATTCAACTTCCGAACAAACGCAATTGGAAAATGATAGTCGATTTCAGAAGGTGATAAAAGTTTCGAGAATGCGTTATTCGTGCAATCGTTGGCCGACGTTATTTCGAAAAGACCTCAGTTTCTGAAGAAAGGCGATCCACGACGAACACTCTATCATGCGAATATCCTCAAGCAATTCATCGCTGTTATGCAGGTTGGTCACAGTTAATTCACTTACGATTAATATCGCATCTGTTCTGTTATCAGATTAACAGTTATGGAATTATTCTTTTTTGGATTGTTTGTCAATTGTAGAGACATCCATCAGCTCAGAAGATAACTGCATGGTTTGCTGCAAGTGTTGAAGCGATTGCAGTTGTAGTGCCTCGAACGGTTGCGATTTGTTTCACAGATTCCCTTTTGCATTCATGGGAGGTAAGGTCACTTTTGCTCACATCCTTTTCATTAATTTTTTTTCTTCATCCCTATCAAATCATCGATGGTACAAGATTATTGCCAAAGAATCGAGTTATTCTTGTAGGAAGAAAAATTTGAATTGGCTTCATCATTTATTTATTTATTACAGAAATTCGCATTGCAATAAGCTTTCAGCTTCTCATACTGGAAAATTTAAGAAATTCTCATTAATAAAAGACATCAAGAATGCAAAAATGCAATTTTCCAAAAACTTTCTCCAAATTTGTTTCTTCCAACTGAAAGATGACATAAATCTAATCAGTTGAAATGCTGATCCGTATTAAAGGTTCTTCTGGAACATAATAACGATAAAAGGTTTCTGTGGAAAGACGGATGGACGAAGCGATTGGACGACTCATTGAAAGTGTTATTATTGTATGTGCAAGGTTTATCACCAGCTGTCAGTATGCAAGGAATACAACGAATGAAAAAGGTTCGCTTTGGAATGATGATATTTGAACCAACTTATGGATGAATGGTCATCTTGCTTAATTAGTCATCTATGCACCCATTCGGATGTTTATCCGTTATTGTTTACTTCCTCAACTGAGACATTATGTGTGTATAAATAACGTTATGAAATAATATTATTCGTAGTCTTAATTTTGCCGATGACCAGAGTTTGGCAATAGCACGCTGTTTTGCTATTTCGCTTCATAGCGGAATAGCGCGAGATTGCCCATCTCTACTTACGGTCCCTCTGTCTTCAGTTAGAGTCAGTGACTGAACCACTTGAATGAGTTATCCTAAGAGTAATGTGCATTTTTTGACTTCTTTGTTTTATTTGTGCAATAATATCATTATATTGTCAGTTATTTCCACTGTGGTTATCACTATTTGGAAGTAGTTTACACGCACTCGAGCAGATAACCTCATCAGAATATCGCAGCAAATGCGATTCATTCATCAGCGCTCTTCAAAGGTTACTCGAACGCATCGTACAAGATCCTGTTTTTGAGTCAGATCAACAGAGAGTGAGTTTTATTTTGATATGCTCAACCGTCATATTACGCTTATTCATGAGAAAATGGTCAATGTTGATATCGCTGAGTACGTCTTATTCATGCTATCATATCGTTCGTTGTAATCCTTGCGTTCCCATTAATGAAATGTTTTTCGGTGATCATTTCTGGTTAATTCAGGCCAAATTTCTTCTCGGTCAATTGACAGCTGACGATATTCGAATGCGAGTGGAATTCAACACGCCTGCTGCGGTCAGTGAATTGTTTTGTTGTGAATCTTTCGAAGTTGTTGCTAAAAATTTGAATCATAGTTCGAATTGATAGTTTCTAATTTACGCATAGCTCGCAGTAGCTGAATGCTGACAACAAGGATTGAAAGTGTGTAGATAGATGGTTCGTTTACAGGACGCTGATAGCGACACCTCATTGCATCATGGATAAACTTTAAGCGATAACTATTCATGTTTGTCGGTTTTGTTTTAGGGATTGATCACTGAATTGGGTATGGAATCAGTGAATGAACAGAGACTCAATTATGATTTCGTGCATATTTATGGAATTGCAAGCATCAACGATGACCAACAGTTAACCAAAGCGCGATTGTTTGATAACTTACTCAAGGCCATCATCTATTTACTACAGGTTTTTGTTCAGTGTTTTGCATTCAGCCAGGTCAGTGGAGATGTCACAGATATTTCCATTGATTGTTTCTTGTAGTTTTGATCGTTGTCAACTTAATGGTACAATAACTTATTGTTTTTTAAAGGTTTATTATGATTTTAAAAATTCCTCAAAACAGATCCAAATTGTTTTCATCAGTTAAGTGAACAGTCCATTAGAATGTCCGAACAATATCGTTTCGAACATTTGCCAAACAATTTGTTTTGAAATGAATACATTTGAATTGAATGAATGAAACGTCGCCTTAAATGTGCTGATTTGTTATGTGTTGATTTCTTTTAGAGTATTCGCAAAAACTCAAAAAGTTGTGCGTTTACACTGAATGTTTTATCGGAATGCGTGATGATTTCACGTGGCTGTACAGATCGAGATGATGAGGCGTTTGCAGACGACAACGATAGCGATCGTTTCATGGCGATTCAACAAGACGATCGATCCTCCGATCCTGTCACCAGTATGTTGTGATCGTTCAGCTTTGATTCTCATCAGTAGCAGTATCGCTTTTATTTCAGCATCACTCATCAAAGTTAGCCTCAAAAATCCAACCAGCACTATCTTACAGAGGAATACTGGCTAAAATTCTGGTTGTGAAATCCCGTTCTAACCTTGTGTGACCTGTCGCAGACATAGAATCTTCCAAATAGCTTATCAACAGAGAACACTGATCAGCATCAGAGCATGTCATAGTGTGACCTAGAAACGCCGCAGATACTATTGTTGAATGATCAACATTCCCTCTTCACAATGAATATTAACATTCTCTAGTGTAATTTGTCAGATCGAATGCGAGTGGAGTACTTAATGGGATCGCTTGGAGAATTGCTAGCCGAGCTTGATGTTCAGTCTGAATCTGAAGAGATCTTAAGCTGTGTTGCGGGTGTGGCCCAGGTATACCCGTATTTTATGTATCCTTTCGGATTCGCTTGTTCAGAGAATATTCCCACATTTCGACAGCTCTTCCGAGCTGATAAGATGAGTACCAATTGTTCTAACTGATTAATTACTATATTGTATCAAAGAAAAAAGAAGGAAAATGTTTGTTTGTTAATTGCCCATGTTCATGTAAGTGAAGCAAGTGCTTGCGTTTAAAGATATGTTTTTGAAGGTGATAATTGAATCGACGAATCGTAAACTGGAAGCAGCGATAGAGTGCGAACTGCATTTTGACGTTAGAAAAGAAGATAAACAAGAATCGGAGATGAACGAAGCGCGAGCAAAATCAATGGATATGGCAGTGGCACTTGCCGGTGCGGTTATAATTGCAGCTAGTGCCAGCAGTGATAAGGTTGATAAGTTTTCTGCTGTTTACTTTTTCTTTTTTTCTTCCGATCAGAAGTGATCGATCGCTGAGATTGGAACTGTTTAATGCACTCCACAAATATCCATTCTTACGTCGTCGATTTATCCAAACTAGCACAAGTTTAGGTGAAATCGTCACTTTCTTCATTGGGCAGTAATATGGGACGCTTCTGTGAGTTGTTGAATAGATCAAGCGAAGAGAACAGAGCACAGTTTTCGACTGCTTTTGAGAGTGCTCAAAAAATGATTGACGTCTTGAAATGTGTCGGAATTGCTGTTCGCGAATCATCCTCTTCAGCTTTTCCTACTGCAAATGATACATCCGGGTTAGTCATTCATTGCTTTTTGAAATTCATCTTTTTTTTGTCATTTTTTCAAATTTATCATTTGAAATTTATCATTTTGAGATTTACCACATTTTATGACGCCTTGTGAGGTTCGACTGAAATTCTAATGGAAGCAATTTTCAGTGCTAAAAATAGCAAAGTGTTGCGAGAATCGAAAAAGAACACGAGTAAACTAGATGCGATTCTTGAAGAAATAGACGATGCAGCCGAGGCTATCAGAGGTCATGCGCTGATCGAACTTGCTAAAGGTATTCGTAAACGAGATGGTGAATTGTTGAAGGCAGTTGAGAGGAATGATCAAATCATGAAGATTGTTATGAGTGAGTTTAAGTTCTCTTCATTATTTGGAATAGTTGAACACTGAACATTTATCTTCTTGCCGTGTGTCATTCAACGATCTCAGAATGACTCAGCAACAACCACTTATATGAAGTGACTTGACAATAATAACAATAATTTCAAGTTTATTGTTGTTCAAGAGAAAGTGACCGATAGCGATTCGTACGTTTACTTGACTGCGATCAACGCAATGGCTGAGTTGGCGTACTGGAAGCGAGAATATTTCGAGGCGATGCTCGAATTTTTCGTTGATCCACACGGCAAGCTGATCGCAATTATCGATGAGATGGAATGTTGTTAGTTGTTTTTCACATTCATTGTTGCTCTGAACATATTTTATAGCTTCATGAAACTGATTGATTAAGGCGAACAGATGAAATCAAACGAAAAAGAGGATTTTCTATTGGTTCAACGAGTTAAAATTGCCGAAGCATTCGGTAAAGTCTGTCGAGCGTTGGGTGAGTATTTTACGTATTCCTATTTGAATTTATTTACTTGCGCCTTTTATGAGAGAAGTTTTAATGCAACTTTCATGTTGATTTCAATGTGCATCATCTAAAAAATTGTTCCTTTGGAGTGATATCCCATTGTAAGTGTATATTAAGGTGCACATTAGTGAATGAACTGAAGATACTTGCAGGCGATATGGCACCTTGGCATTTCGATCGTTTAATAGATCCATTATTGAGTCTGATTATGCATGCAGAAGATGAGCAACTGAAGTCATCATGTGTTTGTACAATTGCTGACTTGGTTATAGCGTGTAAAGGACGCAAGATATCGAAGCATCTCAATGAGGTGATATTCAGACTTGTTATTACTTGAGATCGACTCCTTTATGCCAGAATCAGTAAGATTCATTATCAACGTCAAAGACTTGCGATTTCAGATGTTACTCCTGATCGAAAAGCTGTTGAGTTCTGCTGAACAATCATTATTGAGACGTGCAGCTGTGGTACTTCTGCGATCAATTATCGTGTCGTTTGACACAGCCGTTCTGGAGGTACTTACACAAATATTGATCATTTCTCAAAACACCTCTCAAAGCACTGCTTCAGTTCATTGGCTATTATTATTATTACGATGTGTGATGCATGATCTTCAGTGAGTTCGACCACAGTCGATTGTTTACGATGCTTTGTTCCGTTTGACGAGTTGTACTGCTCTTCAGGGTCTTCAGTCACATCTTCGAGATTTGCATCGACATCTGCGGCATCTACTGGTGATGGACAGCGATGATGGTGTTCGACTGCTGGCTGAGCTTTGTTTGTTGGATATTAAAGAACAAATGGATAATGCGGTCAACGACTTGCAGAATTCGATGGTTAAACGCATACGAATCGTGTGAACGCAGCGATATTTTGCATTTGATTGCCTGTGATCGACGATGTATAGAACTGTTTTATGTTGCTATTTTTAAAATTGAAGATATTGGTGAGCACTCGAATATTCTGAGCAATCAGTGACTTGTTTTCATTGTAGTACGTTTCTGAAAGTATCGTTGAATGATTTTGCACGGTATCGCTTGTTGTTGTATAGAGTTGTTAGGGATTGTTGAACTTTATGCACCGCTTTTATGATTGCATTGTTATACTGCTTACTGGAATACAACTAATTCATTCATTTCAGCAATGTAATCAGCAGATTCTGAGAATGCATTCATGATGAGCATAAGGAACTCCACATATGATATAGGCCCAGATTTGCTAATCCGGTCGGTTGTCGTTCCATTGTAAGTTTGAACCTAACCCTGACAATGAGCTGCTCTCCTGTAGACAAACGCAAAAGGTGCGAAACGTGAAAATCTTTTCCGAACCGACAGAATTTCCACATAATATTCGTATTCAAATGGCATAAATTATGCTAATTGTGCAGCCAGCATGGCGAATTGCATCAGTGAATGCAACTGATTGTCATCCATATTTACAATAAGCGGTGTTATCTGAGTGGTTGTGCACTGGAGTGAGTGCACTGATTTCTTTGGAATAAATATTATTGGAAAGAAAGAATTAATACAGCTATGAGTGGGAAAGAGCTACTTTTAAGCCTCTCTCCATTGGAAGAAGTGAGTTTAAACATTTTCCATCAATGATTCCATCTATAGTCAAAATCTTCGTTGTATAACCAATTAGAGAACTTTCTCAGAATTATGACAAAGTGACACGTAGGTGTCTGTCTGAAACAATCAAGAGAACGAATCAACGACCGCAGAAGTTTTGGCTGAAATTGCATAGCTGTTTTTGAAGTGCGTTAGAAGATAGGAACTGGATAGAATTGTTCAGATAGGAAACGTAGTAAATGAATTCATCATCTCCTCGTGGATCTTGGTTCCTTTGTCCAAGTGCATTGCTTAGAGCCAACTTGAGGTGTGTACTTAAATGTTGTGTGTTGATGGCGGTGAGCAAAGACACAATAAACAAATAAAAATAATAGCAAGAATTTATGATCTATTCATGCCTAGTTTTGACAGCTATACATCGTCTTGTGAATTCATTATTGCCGAAACTTTGGAAGTATGTGGCTGACATATTGTTGATATTATTTGCTTATTGCGTTTCAATTTTCCATTATCAAAAGCAACATTTGAATTCATTGTCGAATACTCATCAAAGTTGAAACCAAATGAAACGAGTCATCTGTCAATCCAAAATGCAGAAATATTCTCAAAGAACTTCCAAGAAGACGAGCACTTCCAAGAAGATGAGCACTTCCAAGAAGATGAGCACTTCCAAGAAGACGAGTACTTCATCACGAGATAGAACAGAAGCATCAAAACGTGATTCAAGAGATAGATCAAAACGTGATTCAACAAAAGCATCAAGTCATGATTCGGGAAAAGAAAGAAATTCTGTGACAGGCAGGGAATTTAGCACTTCTATGGCTGAAAGGTAACAAAATTATTCCATTCGAAAGCAACAAAAACAGCAAAATTCATTGATTAATATGATTTAGGCACCTTTCAATTCAGAACACTTAAATGGTAATATGCAAAAGTATTCAAAATGCGACATCTGCCTTAAATGTTTTCGATAAATTGTACTATTGTTTACTCGATATTTATGCATTGAATGCATTAATGAGGACTTGTTCACGTCAGCGAGCTATAGTCAATAGCACGAAAATATTTGAAAAAATACAGATTTAAGAAAACGAAAAGAGTCATTTCCGGCGAACACTCTTGATCATCCATAATAGATAGATAAGTTGGTATAAGAAAGTTCAAATTGAGAGGGTACTCTTTTGTTTTTGATTCATAACTATTGAATAAAAGCTTGAAGTCCGGCATGAGCACGAACATAGATTTCGAGTTCAACGATATTCGTTCCTTTCGAAATTGTACTGAAAAGTCGAGAAGCACCATAAAGAAGCATAAGTTTTGTGATGAAGATTGTAACCGTACTCGTTACTCTTCAGAGCCGAACAACGACATATAGTATACGTAAATTATGCATCAATATTCATATTACTGCTTGCAAATCTACTCAACTTTATGGACCGATTCACAATTGCCAGTAATCATTACTTCATCATTCACTGAAATGATTCCACTATTTTAGTTTCACACCCAATCGTTTACGTTTATGCAGCAAATTTTCCTCGTATTCACCCATCTTTATATCATTTCAATACATTTGTGGATGGCATCAAGAGGATGTTATGGTCAGCTTCATACAGCAAACATGCATACGTGAGGGTCACTGTTTACATGCAATGCAAACTCGTCTTCTTCAGAAGCACAGTAGTGCCGTTATAGTATTGCAGAGCGCTGAAGCTTTGCGATTTTAACCAAGCAATGAATTGAGGTGTTCTAACGGATGTGCAAAGCTACTTCTCGATAGACGATACTAAAATTGGTCTTCTGCAAACAGTATTCATCATATGCTATATGCTGTCTGCATTGATAAGTGGATTTCTGGGTGATCGCTACAATAGAAAATGGTTAATGAATGCCGGTATCACTTGTTGGATTTTATCAATATTCATTTCATCGTTTATACCGTCCAAGGTTTCTTTCATTCATCGTTCTGTTTATGAGTTTGCTTAGTTAGCGAATGTTTTAATGTGCACGATATATGATCATGAGTTAATATTCAGTTCAATACGGATCAAAGGACATTGCTACCAGAAGACCGACCCATCTGGTATCGAAAAGTGCGACAAAAAATTGAATTTTACTTGAGAGTCTTTAACTGCAATTTTGTAGATATGTTGTCGCTAAACGATCAGTAACAGTTGTGTATGATTTCTTAAATTGAATTCATTGTCAGTAGTGATTGTAACCAATAATTTTTTTCGAAGAGGAAGTGTTTAAGAGAAGCTGTAGACATATAATAAGGAATCATCAGCACCCTTGGGGATAGCAGCAATATTTGTTAGGCTGGAATAATGTTGTATGCGATATTTTGTTCATGGCAACGATTGAAGTTTGTGCATCGAAACATTTTTATGGAACGATCAATCGAAAATGAGAAAAGAAATATCGAAAGAATGCAAACTTTCAGTATTATTACATATTCCTGTCATTACGTGGTGTTCTGGGCATAGGTCAAGCGTGTTTCTCCACAATAGCGCCGACATTGATCGCAGATATGTTCGTGAAAAGTATGCGAGCACGTGCACTAATGGTCTTTTTTTTTGCTGCGCCTCTTGGCAGGTATTAAAGACCACATTTTTGCATTCAGAATTTTGCAGTGATTTTGTCAAAAAAGACATTAAATCGCCCGAACGCTCTTGGCTCTCATGATTTAACTCAAATGTTTCCCATTTTGTATCACAACCTCAAAAACATTTTTGACTGAAAATTATTATCGGAAGACTAGAAAATTTTTTGCGCAACAAAAATGGGATATATATCACAAAGAGCATTCCTTTACGAACGCGAACCCACCACACTCAAATACTCAAATCCACTCAAAACTTACTCAAAAGTTCGCGTGATTTATTCGACTATCGCGAAGATATTGATGCATATCACTTATACAGATGTGTTACTGTTAATATGGCTTACAACTGAACAATTGCAACAACTCAAAAAGCTGTGAATGAGTATTTATACTTTTGTATCATGTGAATACGAGTTTTGTATTGAAATCAAATTGCAGTGGGTTCGGTTACATGTTTGGCTCATGGTGTAATTCGTTGTTGAACGACTGGATATGGGGATTACGTTTAACGCCAGTGTTCGGTGTTCTATGTGTAATCTTGATCACTATGATAGTTCGTGAGCCATTGCGTGGTGAAGCCGAGATAGCAACTGGTGCTCAAACAGCCAGTCATATTGAGCCAACTTCTTATTGCAACGACATTTTATCGCTTCTTAGAATGTTAATCTCTTCCAGTTCCATTTTTACTTTGTTTCCTCTGAACCGACATATTCTTTACCCATCCATTCATCATGAACCATACTCTCCGTTCGAACCTCATTTTGAGTTGTTCTGTTCACCATTTTCTCGAAGCACAATCTCGTCTGACAACTAACATTCATTCACAAATTTGTCATTCATTATAATGAATATCTCTCGAGCATATATCCATTTTCAGAAAGCTGACAACTTTAACTCTTTAATTCGATAGCAGCCTTCTCTCGGAACTGTGTAATCTTAATTACAAGTCTAGACCTAGAATAGTTTTAATGAATAACATAAGCCTAACGTTCATTTGCTATGCACTGTGCACTACCTCATCTAATAAGTCATTCGTTGGTTGATAATTAATGGCACTTATTCCGAATATAAGTCTGTTTTTGAAAGAATCGTGTGATATGAGGTCTCTTCTCTTTCCGGTGATTGCACCTTCTCAATTGTATTCTTAGGAAAAGTGAGAACCTCATTGTTCTACATCAGTCTCATCAAGACCATTCGCGAACATTTCAGTCCAACCTACGTGATGGCGAGTATCGCATATACAGCGGTTGTATTCGTGATGGTATCTTTATCATGGTGGGCGCCAACGGCAATATGTTATGCATTCGCAATTAATCACAATCTTACTTCCACTGAACTGATTAGCAATACAGATAAGACAAAGTATGTCTTTCTATAATGCAGTACGGTCATGAAACGTTCCAGTTCTTCGCGTTTGAACTGAATTTTTTCAACCTTTTTTTCAGCCTGAATTTCAACTTTAATCTCATTTTAACCTGTTAATCAATTGATGCTCTCTTTGTTCATCTCATATGAATGCAAGTAAGTAAAGAGGCCAGTGTCCAGTAATCAGCTGGACACAATACCTCTTCACTGGGTGTTTTTACGGGGCAGAGGCAATATGATAAAGTTCGGCAACCCTTTTACTTCGCAAGTGCTCGATATAACTTTCTCAAAAGCGTCTTCTTGGTTTTGAGGTTCACGTTGAATTTGCTGCTTGAATGCATCCCCAAAAATTAGATTCCTCGTTAAAACGAGCATCAGGTCACTGTGAACAAGAATGATTTTTGAATTAGTTGTTCCCGTTTGAATGAGCAGAATCGCAACAATTTTAGAATTAATGCAATCTTTGGTTTGATAACAATAACTAGTGGTGTTTTTGGTGTCATCATTGGGAGTGTATGGGCTCAGGTGAGATGCTTTTACCTCGGGTCATTACGTACCATCGTTGATATCAAATTTAAGCACAGAGTTGATTGATTGATATAACGCAAAACCTCATTTCAAAATGATACAGCGGAAATAATCAAACTAACGTTTTATGTTTCATTGAATCGTTTCTATTTGACCACAAACAAACAATCAATTATCTATGATCACATAATTACGATACAAGAAGAGAAACATGAATTTAGATGTGGTCAAATGGTCGATTATGTTTCCGCTTCATTCAAACGGATCGATCCCATGCTTTAGTGTGTGCAATTGGATCATTCTTAGGAGCACCTTGCTTATATTTTGGCTTAAGATTTATGATTGGTAATATGACGCTTTCTTGGGTAATAACTGTTGCACTGTTTCGGTTATATTTACATCATCAACTGTCCCATACGAAAACACCACTCAATCAATGCGATGCTCACATAAATTGTTCATTTGCTCGTGCTTCAACGATAACCCACTTTAAGCATTACAAGTGAATTCTCTGATAGTTTATGCCAACGCCACCCTCCTATTGCTGTTCAGAAATGAACACAAATCAAATTTAAGATTTTCATCTGTCTGACGAATACAACGATGTGCTTCAACTTCGCGATCAATGTCGAGCTGTATATGGTTCGTTCTTATTCATCATCAGTCATTGGCATTTTTAATCTAGTCCATAACAATTTGGGAACCTTTTCATTTCAGCATTAAGAATTAGACCAGCTCATATGAGGTTGTAACTAGAGTGCCCCAGAAGTGAATTTGGTAGCTGAACTGAAACATTCCAGGATAGACAATGCGTCCTCTGAAGGCATGTCCCTGATCAAGATTTTGCTTATGAATTGAACTCCGCACAATCTGAATTAGTCTCTGACCAAACACCTCACAAACAGTTGAAAAAAACTTGATGAATTGTTTGATGAAAGATGAGTTTGATTAAGAACGTTGTGATCCCAACAAGAAGAAGTGTCGCAAATGCATGTCAAATATTCATTTCGAACCTGTTTGGTGGTGCTGTGGGTCCATATGTTGTGGGCAAAGTATGTCATTTAGCTGCTTGTTCGTTCAATACTCCTCTCGTAATTTGCTTACAAACACTAGGTTTGATTCAGCTTCGTTCCCAATTCCGAGACACTATCTGATCGTTTTTTAGTGGACTAATTGGTCGCCTTTTCAGATCATTCGTTGCAGCAGTTGCGTTGATTTCGCTCGTTAACGTACACGAATGCAAACTGAGCTTCATATTGAGCTTTCGTCAACACGTTCACAAACGATTAGATTCAGAAATTCGATCATGAATCTGTTGCAGGTGTCCGATGCGATTCGAGGTGACAAAATCGATCCTGTGGCACGTTTCAATGCCGTTCTCACACCTTTCTATCTGCTCATTTGCATTCTGTTATTGAGTGGGGTGTTATTCGTTGCGGCTGCTATATTTTTCAAACTTGACCATCAAAAATTTCGGGATCAAATGGGTAATAATGCAATGTCATTTTCTCATGTTTTGTTTTTCGCTTGTTTTATACAAAATTGAATAAGTTCCACCCTTATTGCTGGCAGTAGCATCAGTCGAACATTCGTACGGAACGAAAGAAGAATGCCTGCTTCGATCTTTAATCTATTAGTCTGAACTTCCTTCAGTTATAACAAATTCATGCTCTGTATGAGAAAATTATAATTCAGTTGAATGGATTGACAAGAAATATTTGGAGAAGAACATTTATTAGTAAATTTCTTCACTTTACAAATCAATTTTCAGATTACCTCTTTAGTTTTTGATATCATTTTTCTAGGCTACGCATCAATAAGTACTACTGGTACTACTAAGTCGACATCAACTAAGAAGCTTACATGAAAAAGGCAATTATTATTATTTTTACAGTTAATAATATGTTTTATTGTTACTCAGCGAGAAGGATCGGTTTCGTTTCACTCTTCATTTCAAGAATATATTTCTTAGCGACATAAGCAACGATTTGGCTCGAATCAACGAACTCTCACAGTCCACCTGACAATGAGATTGGTTTTGATGGAGAGAAGGAAACATTTTGAAACAAATTTAACAATGAGCAAGTTTCCATTTGAGTGAATGAAATATAAAGTTGATTCTAATTGTTTATTGTCACAATTTTGTTTCTTTCTAAAGATTGGGAATGCTAATTTTCATGGACGTTGCAGTTGTTGTTCGACTTGAAAGTGATGCAGTTCCAGGTTGAATAATGTTGATTACAGTATGTACAACAGATTTTTGACTAATGTATACATATATCTGTGACTGGTATAAATATATCGTGTTTATTTGATAAAACTTTTACTTGTTTTGAGTTCACATATCACACAATTCCAAATTCAAGTAACAGTAAGAGGTGAGGTTTGCAATGCGATGATATCAGTGGAGTATCGTTGAAGAAAAAAAAAAAGTTAAGACAACGTTGAAGAAAACGAGCATCGTTGTGCAAAACGAGCAAAACGAGCAAGAAAACAAGCAACGAGCATCATTTTCTTCAACGAGCATCGTTGAAGAAAAAAAAATTAAACAGGAGTCTAACGGAATCAGCGATCTTGAATTGGCAATGAGTTGACGAAAGGAAAGAAGAGCGATTGATAAGAAATAGCTTCGTTTCAATATTATGCAATTCTGAACTTGTAATAATTACGATTCAACATTTTTATTCATTCCACTCGTTATCACTTGCGAAAGACAGTTTGCTCGGTAACAACCTGATTTCATTTAACGGTAAGAACACCCGTCCATTTTATTTAGATATAACGGCTTGTTCCACAATATCATAATTTTGTTAAAGTTTATAAACATAGACTGGCTGAGGTGTAGTTGTCTTAACTAGAAGTTTGTCTGAAAAAGTGAATATGATTGAGTATGTGAAAGTGATCATCTCATTTTCATTTAATTCTCTGAGGTTTCGTATTAAACGATATTAAATGACCAAAGCGATCGATATGGGATGTAGTACTTTGGTTGGAATTTTGCTTGATTGGAACATTAAAATTTTCTGTTCAGAATTTACTGAATGCATTGCAGAAATAACATTCATCGCATGTTCAATAACAGCCCTCACTCACACCGTGTTCAAAAATTGAAATGTTAGTAAATCAGGTGCGTTGAATTTCATTCGTTGCTTGAAAAAACATCAGCTACTTCTTTTTGGTCAACAGTTGACCTTTAATCGATGTTCTTAATCTCGCATTCCAAACACACAGTGAAATGAATAGAGCCGCGTCTGAGAGGCTCGCTTCGTCCCTATGCTATAAAAAAATTTTGGTAATGCAAAGGACGAAGTTGGGAACGATGGCATAATGTGCTTTTTGATTGGTGGCCATCAACAGACGCACAGTTCAATGGCCATCGATAAGGCAGATTTTGAGTTTCGGATGATTTCAGTCGGTGGTCACCGACCTAGTATATAGTGTGATTGATCACGAGAGTTGATCATTAGAGATTCAATGGAAGCAGTTACGAATCGCAAAACGTCGATTTAACGAAGGAGGAAAATGGACTGAATGTTGATGTAACCGAAGATGTCGCCATTCCATCAAGCATTCGCAACCCGAATGCAACTCGTCATTCGAGGCTTGTCTTTCCTCTTTTATTCACTCATCGTTTCAACAAGTAATCTCGCTCATTGACAAGTAGTCAAACGCTGAAATATTCGAACGAACGTTGTTTTTTTAATGATATTTCATTGCAGCGTTTTTCAATCGACTCTTAAAACAATTCCTCGCACTCGAGAATTACTTAAAAAATCATGCTTACCATTCGGATTGATAATTCAACCCTTCAAAGCTGTTGAGGTGGGAACTG